GCTTTTCTTCCCTCTCGCCCACCGCTCACCGCCCATCGCACGACGCAACGCCGTTTCCACCTAGCTGTTTTATCTGCTTTTCTGCATCTACGTGCCTATATCTTTTGTCTATGTAGAAGCGGTTCTCGTTGTCTTCCTCCGTCAGATCCGATATCGTTCTTTCGTATATGAACATGTACGAGCAGTTCCTTTCTCTTCTTTTTCCTCTTCCTCTTTTCGTCACTGATAATTTTTCCTCCTTTTCTCTTTTCTTTTCTATACATAATATACATTATATCTTGACATATCCTGCACAGCTTTTTAAGCATCCTCTTTCTAGCGTGGTATTGTTCTTTTACTTGTGTACAGAGTGAATGTATTTCTCTTCATTTGATTATCGTCGTTAATTTTTTCAATCTTTTCTTCTGTCTTTTCAGTTCTGTTAATTTTTGTCTTTTTGACCATTCCTTCTTGTTAACATTACTTTAACAATCCTTTTCTTTTCTAATCTACTTCAATCATCTTATCACTCCAGTCTTCTTTCTTTCTTTAATCATTTACTTCCATTTTCTTTCCTTAACACTCCGTCATCCTTCCTTCATCATTTCCCAGTTGCTTCTTCATTTTTTCTGTCTCTCAATTCTTTCATACTATTGCCTTATTTTGTTTCTTTTATGTACTTTTTCTTTTTTTATTTTGTTTCCTGTACCTATTCCGTTATCATTCTTTCATTATCATTCTTTTCTTTCTGTCTTCCTCCGCTACTTTTCTTCTCTGATTTTTTCCTTTATTTATCTGTCATTGTATTAATCTCCAATTCTCCTAGTCGACATTCGTTTTGCACTTATATTATTCTGTTTTCTTCCTGTTCTATTTTTGTCAACTTTTATCTTCTCTCATTTTTTTCCATTTTTATCTGTTGAATTATTTTTTCATTCTTCTTTTACTGGAGATATGCTGATATGTTAATAAACGAGTGTTTTGGCTCGTGAAATATAACGCGTTATTGAGAGTGTGTGTAACAGACACGCGCTCCTTTCTATCGATTAAAGGACTCCACGTGCCATTAACCGAGTGGCCGAATGCTGCTGCTGCGACAGTCTCCTTTCACAGACGAATCATGAATCGATAAAGTCAAACTGAGTGGATATGTTTGTTTTAACTTCATTGAAATGGATCAATGCATCAATAGTGAAATTTTGAACTCCGCTGTTCGATAAGTAGATTACGGCTTGATACAATTCCGGCAAGATAAATAATAGTTAATCCGTGTTCGCGGGGTTCAACTATTTGTACCAAATTTTTATTTATCACCTGCGTTATTTACTTAGTATTCTTATATGTTAAATATATAATATATTGGTTTTGAAGAAATTTATTCATCAAGGAAATATATATAATTATCAAGATTTAAAAATCAGAAATGGTTAACACAAACATAATGAGACATTCGGTACAAAGCGGCATCACGATAGATATCTCACGCAAGCTAGGAGGATGCGAATCGAAGATAAACCGGAAGATCTCCGCTTCCCTACGCGTTTCGTTTTCTTCTTAATCAGGACCAGCCCGACTTAATGGCTCTCTCCCGTACGACCGTAATTCGCCATAATTAGCCGTAAAGAAGTGGCTTCTATAAATTATATTGTTGCGCTCGGTTAAGCTTATTACGAGGGTCGAGGCGACGGACTACCGAAAAGCTAATTCGAGATTATTACGGGCTCCTATGAAAAATCGCCCGCCTGTTAGAAGTGTCAATTCGTAAAAGCGAAACAAGTATCGACGATGTCATGTTGTCATTTTTTTCCCACCGGAAGCTGAATGGGGTCAATTATAGCTAAGAACGACTTTATCGTAATTTCTTATGGTACCTATATTTCAAATAAAAATTTATTTATAATTTTATGTAATAAAAAACATTCATAGGATTGAAATAATAGGTGCACATATAAAATATTTATTTATCATTGTTTATTTATTTCGTATATGTGTATAAATAAATATATTGTGATTTTTTATCTTGGTACATTAAACTAGAGATAAAACTATTTCAAATTTTTTTAAACAATTAATTACTAATTTTTATATAATAAAAATAAATGGCATGATTTAAAAGTCTTCAGAATATTGTCATTAACTTGTATGACTGTTCTTGGAAAGTGTATCGTAGTTAAAAACTCTCCGTGTTCGAAATCTGCGAGATTATCAATTATAGCAATAAATGGATAAAAAAATACTCGTAACAAAGCAGCAATCAATATCCAAAAACAAAAAAAATATGGTACGTGATGGCACGTTTTTGACTATCCAGAAAGTGTGGTAATTGCTTCTAAACGTGGCTATAACGAACTATTTATTGCGAGGATTATCACGAGCTTCTGTCTATTCGATGATATTTACGGTCACGGCGTCTCGCGCGCGCGAGAGCGGTATCGGCGCTACTGCATGCAAGAGCGGGCGAATGAACGAACGACTTCATTGCAATTGCGCGCCCGGAGGGTATTATGGTTAGACGCGCGCACGGCGCGGGCATATTTATAGTAAGGGTTGCGTTATTAGCGCGGTTAAAACTTTACGGCTAGAGCTAGCTGCCTCATTTACGGCCGAGCGGCGCCCGTAATCGCGTAGTTAGAATTATACGATTACGAGCCGGCTCGGTATATAATATCGCCTACAGCCATTGAAATTCTTTACGCGCGTGTCCTGCGTAATTCCACGAAGGGGGGCAAAAAGGGAGAAGAGAACGCGAAGGAAGAAAGAAAGAGGATTAATTATTAATTATCGAAGACGCGACATGCCGTTAAGAGCCCCGAGTAAGTATCTCGGTCGCACGTGCGCCAAAACTTTGGCACTACAACGTGCTCGCGCTGAACAATCGCACCGTTAATGTTTCGCACAACGTGAAATCTTTTACTTCTGGAATTTTTATATATAACTGGACAGATAAAATATATAAAGTAATATTTGCATAAATAAAATATAGTATAGAATGTATCACATATATACGTACACATAACGCGATATATCACATATGATAAAAATATGATCGCACGGATCTAATGTGATTGATATTGCGTTAACGATAGCAAGATGCTACAGCACGTTTGATTATTAGGTAAATTATTATTAAAATTATCATTAAAGATTTTAGAAATAAAATTAATAATATCATAATGTGAATAATAAATATCTTTCGATGAAGACAATAATCAACAAATCGTTTTTTCCAGTTCTTATCGCAAATTTAAATCAAAGCTTTCCTTTTGAATTCTAAGATTCTCTTCATGTTACTTGAAAGAACTAAGATTTAAAACTACGATATTGTATTTAACATTAAATTAAATTTGATCAAGATTTAAAATTTTATTAAAATGTGTAGTTAATAAAATTCTTGATATCCTTCGATTATTTTATATTTATCTGACTAGGTGACGCAAAAAAAAAAAGCGAATAAAAGACAAGAAACATTATAATCCATTATCATCAAAATCATGCTTCTTTTATCTATAAATATTAAAATTTATTACATATATTTGCTATCTTCCATTTGTTTTTCCACTCTAATGTCGTCTAGTTAGACAAATCTAGTTAGACAAATGTAAAGTAATGAAAAGCCAACGTAAAAGGGAAAGTAAAAAAAGAATAAAAAATCAGAAAAGAATACGAAAGTGCAGCTACATTTAAAGATATAAAAGAGCTTGATATCTAGTTGTTAAATGCACATCCACTGAATAAAAGCAAAACTCAACAATAAAAAAATGAACACAGTATCTCCACCAGCATATACAATTCTGTAATAATAAAATACTCCTTTATCAAAACGCGATAACTCTTAGACATTTTTAAAAATATTTCTGCGTGCATTTTTGCACGCTTATATTAATTACGAAAATCACTTATAAAAACTCTCGGATTTCAAGCTTTAGATGTATATTTAATTGTATGTTATCAACGAAGTTGAAAGAAGTGTAATATATCATCATAATGTCTGTTTATGAAAAGACGCATTATCCTTGCGGAAGCAGCTTGTGTCCTTTCTCATCGCGTCTGCAACGTATCACAAATTACGTGGAAATTTTCCAGCCGCTTCCGGCAAATTATTCCTCCATCAAGGACACAGACTATGTATTTGCACGAACAAAGAAATACGATCGCTTCTTCTAGTTGACTGACGTAGCAACGATTGTACTACTCCGAAAAAAAAAAATAAATGTCACAGGTGTGACAGACTATTCGTTCTTCCGCAATATCGTTCCTTTGAGATCTGCGGTTGACACGACAAGGACAATAAATGCGGCTGCGGCTGATTTAGGTATTATGTGTGTCGTCGCGTACCACGTGCAAAAATTATAAAGGATTTAACTGGCAATTCGCGAATTTCTAATTTTAAAAATCATATGTCGATTTTTTAATTCTCACTCAATTCTTCTATCAAAATTACAAAAACTGTATTTTGTAACGAGAAAAAAAGAACACCATTAATTAAAGAATGTGTATGTTGTGTTTGTATGAATATGTAACAGTATGTTTTATTTTACGTAACGCAGAAAAATGGCAGGAATATTTTATATCTTATATCAAATACTGAAAAATAGATTATACATTTAACATTTATGATATTTTATTTTACAAAATTTTTTTTTAATTTTCTTAAAGTATCGCGAGATATCAAGAAGAATTTTCAGAATCTTGATTTCACACAGATTATTTCATAGAAATTCAATTTCACAGAATAGATACATATCAATTGCTCACTAGTTTTTTGTGGAAAATTTATGACGGTATCTATGATCAAAAATTGCAATCTACGGAAACACTTAGTCGGTCTCATTGATGTCTTAATGCGGACTTGTTCAAGTTGCTGTTAAAAATGTATACCGATTATAATCGCATTTATCACAAGCGTAGATTTCAGATTTAACCGCGATAGTGAGGAAAATTGTGCGGTGTGGAAAGATAATATCTCGTAATCGACGCTACTTGTGTATAATTATAACGCCGCCACGACGTGATACAATTTTTTGCACGATACATTTTCATGAAACGGGGTATTGCTAACGTCGCGTAGTTATTAACCGTTGAGAACCGCGCCGTGAAACCTTTCGCCGTATCTGAACTACTTGCGAAACTATTTCTGCTCCGCAGAATCGTTTAAACTCTTTCAAAATTGCAATAATAAATTTATTTTATCAATTTATTAATTTCCTTAACCAATTTATTTTGTTAAAAATCGCGAAAATAAACTATATGACATATTTCCATTTAATTTCATAGTAAGTAAAAAATGCGGATAACATTACAAAAGATAATAGGTATATCAAAAATAGATAAAAGTACACGATACTACATATCTAATAGATGATGATGATGATGATGATAGACTATACAGTCAGATAATAAGATAATGTAAAATCAACATCTTTATTCAATAGCTTAACAATTGTGCAAGAAAACTAACGCACTAAAAATCTTAATGCACATATAAATAATATATGTACATCATAACAAAAGTATTTAACAATTTTGCGACTAACAATAATATATTCTAAATGCATTATTATACTATCTTAGAACATCTTTGGCAGTAATATTTTGCTATCTAAACCAAGAGAGGTCGCAATAATTCAAGCTAGTCTTATGTTCAATTAAGTAAATATCAATTTTAAAACTTCTTTTGTATAGAGCTTATTTTATATTTTAATCTCTTATTTTGTGTATCATTTCTTATCTCAAATTATTCTTATTTCATATGTTATATTAAAGAATTTTGATTTATTTTTAATGAACAGTTTCAATAAAAACTACTTTCAAGCAAATTTAGCCATTGTATTATCATCTTTAGATGATATATAGTGCTTATAAAAAAATAAAATTATATTCTTTTATCATTATTAGCAAGGCATTTTACATCCCATATAAAAAATGGGATAAGTATCTCTTCAATATATTCATGAACATTGTTTGTTTAAGTATGACCTCTCTCAAGTTGACATACTATAATTGTAATCACTTACTTCATTACTAATGTTCTATTCCACATAGAGGTGCTTTTGGATGGTAACCTGTCCATTTCCTATACGAAACATCCATTGCTCCTTCCACAGCATGATCTATAGGATGTATTATGAAAGGTATAGATACTAAACCAATAAGTATTGAAATCCAAGGTTTCTTCAAAACTGCTCTTGTACTTCTTTTTTGTGCAAATTGAACTGCTGCACAAATCCTATTTATGGTAAAACCAGGAACTACTATAGACGCAAATGTCTGCCATATCAGAGTATCTGATGTAGATAACAAAACATTTTTTGTTTTTTGCAGAGTAGTATCAACCTATAATAATTAATTATTAACTATCTTAATAATTATTTCTATTAAATAAAATTTGAAATTTTTTTCTCATACTTTGTAAACTTTTGCACCCTTGTGTACTGTATCTGCGAGTACATATCCACTCGCTATGGCGTAACTAGACCATACAATAGACTTCGGCACTAGACTTCTAAATGCCTCTCCAACCTCGTTTGCATAGCCTAAAATAAAGAATTATTTCGTCAATTTATATATAAAATTTATATATGTAAAAAATATATATAAAGATTTTTTTAAATACTAATACATCTTTGTGTGGTTATATCTTATAATTTTATTATTATTGTTATATCATTGAAAAATTCAAGTACATTTTTTTGTGGACATTTTAGCATTATATAAAGTTATAAGATATAAAGAAATCATGACATAAATGATCAATGACAAAATTTAATAATCTTATCATTACCTAAGTATCTCACATAGGTATCTCGATACAAATCCACTTCTTTTTCATTATTCATTATTCTAAAATTTACAATTTTTCGATTATTCTTCACACTGACATAACCTATATAGCAATTTATTGAAATAACATTCTACTATGCTCAATATTAGTTTTCAGTAATTACTTAGGTGTAGATGTTAATAAATATATCTGCTCATAAAAATTTTACCTTTATATGATTGAAAACTTGGAAATTTTTAAAAGGAATGTAATTTATATTAGCAGAAAACTGAATAGAAGTACTTTACAAAATAGATTACAAACAATATAAAACATAACCTACAAAATTTTGAGAAATCGATACTCGAATTTGTCGATACTCGCATTTCGATACTATCGATTCATACTATCGATTTATCACCTTTTTAATTTTTATGCCAAATTATGCTTTATCGTTTTATGCATTTGTAAATTGTCTCTTCCTAATTTGACATATAGATCATATTAATCAGAATTATCTATAAATAATTATTTAAATAATTTAACTATACAACTAATATATATATGTACAACAATTTATAAAATGTCAATGAGCAGTGTAAAAATTTTATTTTAAATTTTTGTTTTTAATCAGAACAAAGAATTATTTCGGATTGTCGTCTAAAAATTTAATTATTAATCAAATTAATTTTAATATTTAAAAAATACACATAAAACATGTAATCAACATATTCTTATTCAATTATTTTTGAGAATTTAATGAAAGTTTACGCGGTAATTATCTTATTAAATAATAATTATATTAATTAAATAAGATTCTTATTAATTATATATCTTTTTATGTATATTTTTAAAATATGATTTCGGGCACAAATATTTTTAAAATTAATTAAAAAATTTATTATCAATAAACAAATAATACGTACTTAACAAATAACATATTTGTTGCTTTATACATTACTTGTCATACATAACTTGTCGATTATCTTATATTTATTAATATTTTTTTTCTTTTCTTCGATGCTTCTTTCATTGTCAGCTCATCTTTATTACTCAATGTGGGTAGTGTTTAGAATAACGATTACTCCAATCGCTCGCTTGATAGGAGCAACATAACCTCAAGCTCGATTGCTTCGTGACGATGAGAATGTTTGTTTTTGGTCGTGGGTGATAACTCGCGATTATTGGCGACATGGCGGTTCTGTGATAAATTGTAAACACGAATCGTTGAGTACGTGGATCTCCAGGATGGTAGCCGATCTGAATTACGTTCGACAGTACCTCAGCCTGCAGATCAACGAGGTAGTCTGCTGGTGGTGGTACTACATCAGGGAGATCTCGTGGCAATTGTTGATCGCCTTGCTGGCGTATCTCTGCGTCTGCGTCTTCCTCTATGCAGTTCTCAAAAGAGTGGGCCATGCTGCCTGGCAGCTACCTGGTCCACCCGGCAGACTTCTCCTGGTCACTGCTCATCCGGACGACGAAGTGATGTTCTTTGGGCCGTTGATCTACTGGTTGACACGCTCCAAGACCAGCGAGATCTACTTGCTGTGTTTATCCATGGGTACATGTCACTAGCTACCTGCGTTATCCAGGATCACAAGCAATGATCCGGAGTATTGACAGGAATAAATGTCAAGCAAACGCCGTGTTTATTGATGTTTACCAGTGTACTTGCAGGTGGAGACAAAAGGAGACTAGAGGAGTTGTGGGCATGTACAAGAGTGCTGGGCGTTCCAGAGGCTAATGTAACTATTATTATGTGAGTTAATCTCATAAGAAACATCACTCACAAGCACTCACATTTAAATTGCATATTTAATGCTGAGTGTGCTTATCTAATTTGTTAAAAGCTGCCAATTAAAAAAATTAGATAACTTTATTTAGTGTTAAATATACAATAAGATGATATAAAATAGAGATACCTATCTTTTGAATAAAGTCCAATGAACTAATGTGCAGGAGTAGCGAATTACCAGATGATCAGAGTGTACAATGGCCAACAGAGACAGTGGCGGAAGATATCTTGCAATATATAGAGATGTACAGAATCAATGCTGTTGTAACATTTGACAAATATGGAGTGAGCAGGCATAAGAATCATATCTCCTTGTACTTTGCAATTGCTGCGTTATGCATAGAAAAAAAAGTACCTCCTTGTCAGTATTATTTCATTCGATTGATATACAGCTATACCTAATAAGCTGGCGTAATATACGTAATTATTGTGTTCCAGATTGTAAACTGTATGTGTTAGAGTCTGTCAACATAATTAGAAAGTACATTCAACTCCTAGATTTACCCATCAGTCTACTCTCAGCCTCGTATTGGTATCTGGTGACGTACGAGCAGAAGCGAATAATCAAAGTGAGTTCGAACGTTCTATTTTGTAGCGGAAAAATCATTATCTTTATACAAATCTCTTCTTTAACATTATTTTCTCTTCTAGAGTGCCATGGCTGCGCACAAGTCTCAGTATGTTTGGTTTCGAAAGTTGTATATGATTTTTTCACGATATACATTTATCAATACCCTTCAAGAAGTCAGCGCCCTTGATCTGGAGCTGGATCTCCAGTTTGACGAGGACTGAATAAACTGTGCGAAACATGAATTGTACAAAATATGTAATTTGTAATAATTACTGTACATACTTTGTCTACCAGTGAACACTGTCCTTAACTTAATGTAAATTATATGAAAATTACAAAATACGGAAGCTACATACGAAAATTTTTTAATACATGCAGAAACATAATTCTAAGCAGGAAATATTTTTTTATTCATTAATACAATAAACTACACATTATAGTTATTTCCAAATTAGAATACGGCACGCAGTTTTGCCAGTGTAATAATCAGATTTTTTCCTTGAAAAAAGATACGTGTTGCGTGCCGTTTATCTTCCTCTGGTGTACAACCTTTCGTTTACATGCAGATCCAACATCACAAATTGTCATTTGATATGTACTCGTCAGGTGTGTATAATAAAATAATCTAGAACTATTGTACATAAAACACCATTTTTAATTTGCGGAATCCAAAATTTCTTATCTAATAATCACATCTTTTTTTTTTTAAACCAGTTGCCATTGTCAAATCATTTGAGCAAGTAATAATATGTGGCGAGTGAAACTCGCGATTGTACGCATACTTTTGTGTTTCAACATTAACATGTGATATAAGTCATAGATTTTTTATTTAAAGCCAAAATTCTTTTTTCCAGTTTGGCACAAATAACGTGCAAAGAGGAATTAAACTTCTCTTTTTCTTCCAACATATTGGATAGCAAAATTTTTCTTATGATTCGAAAAAATATATTGCTCTTTTCACAACAAGGCGATATTATATACAGGACGATATTATGTCCCAGACCTACCGTATCACCCGATAACAGAAGGATGATGAAACGGTAAATGACCTCAGGAATCTGTCATTAACGAGTAATACAACGGTAGGCCTGGGACACCCTATATATATGTATATATATAATATATATATATATATATATATATATATATATATATATATATATATATATATAT